CGGCCGTGGCCACCGCCGGCGGCCGGGCACATGGGCAGGTAGCCGGGGAACAGGTTCCGCTTGACCGCCTCGGCCATCCGGCCGCCGTTCACCGGTTCCATGGTCATGTAGTCACCCTTCTCGTCGCCGCCCGACCCGTTGTTTTCCGCGCGACCACGTCTCTGGTGGCCGCATCGGTCGCAAGCGTTCGTCAGCCCGGCCCTGGTCAACACGTTCTTCGCGTTCTCGTAATGGCACAGCGACTCGCTGAACTCCAGGTTCATGTAGTTGTCCGCGGCCGCCGGTTTGCGGCCGTTGACGTTGGCCACCGGTGGTTCCAAGTTCATGTAGTTGCACGTCGGCGACACAACCGCGGTGGCCGGTTCCGCGTGTTTCTTCTTCTTCGTCACGTCCACCGTCGCGTAAATGGCCCCGTTGGTCGGCTGACAACACTCGTGCGCGGCCGCCGTCTACCAAGAAATACCGTTGTTTAATTATTATTAAGGATGTATTACCAAAGCTGTCAACACACTACTATCGTAGGATTTGCACATTTTTTTTTCAATCGTTCGAAATGCGAACGTGCTTTTACCAAAATGTTTCTCACCAGATACCACGTTTAAAATTGTACATATTTGCATGTTTAAACGCGTAAGTGCTCATTTTAGCTGATTTTTATATAACTGATCTTTTTAAAACATGTATAGGTCATATTTTTAATTTTTAATCGGTAGCAGTATATCTCCAACGGAATACATTTTCTTGGGCTACACGATAAAGTGCCTTTACAAATGCAATAAATTCACTTAATTTTACTATAAAAAACAGTTAAACGTATAGGACATAAAACCTAAATGGGATTTAATGGCAGACCTATACCACGCCAAAGCTACGTTGCTCATTAATAATATTAATTAGATTGATTTCAGAACAGATCAAGAACAAGAGACTCAAAGAATTAGAATTATAATAAGATAATAATATTTGCAGCATCGATTGGATTACCTAATTTTTAGTAAATTTCAACAGTTAAGAATAAACAGTAATCACGGTCTTTTAAACAGATTAGGCAACGCAATTACATCTCATTATTTAAAAAGAAAGTTTTCTATGGTTTCATCAGGAACAATAGATTTTGTAACACCAAGTAAGGAAGCAACAAAATCACTATAAACATAATCATTAAAGATAGAGACTATAAATAAAATGCAGTTTTTTTTTTTAAAAAGTAAAACCAAGCAGTATTAAATATCAGTTTTAATAATAAGTTAATAACTTGGCAACATTTTAATATTTTTCGGTTAATAATAAAAAGGTACTCTTAAAAGTAATAAAAATTATAATAAATTATAAAGGTTTTGCAATTAAGTTATAATTTATTCAAATGGTTGTGAATAAACGTGACCAACGTGTCTGATATTTGTTTATTACAGAATATGATACTGATATTTTATAAGTTTTTTAAAGATTAACATTGAAGTACTCGTACACCGTTTTTTGTTCCTTCATAAACTGTGTATACAGTTGTTTTGATTTTATAATGTAATGGTACACATATCGAGATTGAAAAATAAATAAATAACTTACCGTATTGTTTATTTGGTATTCGTTATGATGGTTATTTCGTTTACAGTGAGGAGCCATTGTCATCCAGTTATGAGACCAACAAGCCATAGTTCTTTGGCAATGGCATATTCCTGTGCACTGTATCTCCGCTTTTTTTTGTGAACCAGCACTATAAAACATGGCGAAATTAAATGTTTATCAAAATTTCATTCGCCTACAGTTCTTTTGTAAGTTATTGAAAAAAAAAAATTAACTCGTGATCTCTCATCACCAACAACCGAATTTATTATTATTTATTAAAAACTTATAAATAAATCGAGCACGAGCTAATATTTTTCCGCCCCTTTAAAAAATCATATTTATAATAATAAATACGTAGAATTGAATTTGAATTACTTGGATTTTTTGTGAACAGCCACGGGCGACGGAGGCGTATCGTAATTGCCGTAGGGGTTGATTTCCAAAACGGACTTGATGTTCCGCGGCGTGTCGTAGTATTCATCTTGAACGGTTGGATACATTTTATTTGACTGTGGAAGTATAAATAAATCATGATTATAAATTGAAAATGGTTATCAATCTTGTATTAACGTTTGCTATTTTGAAAATAAAATGTAAAAAAACACTCAGATTAACGTTTCAAATACCGTTTTTCTTTATTTTCTTTTTGTATGAACATTTTTTCTTTTTTTTTTTATTAATATCGTTTTTGAAAATACCGAGTTCGCTGCAATGTTCAAAATGAAACTACCTATGTAATTTTTCTTCCATAATATTCATAATGTTACGTTAGTGTAATTTGTTACTTATTATAACAAACGTTTTGGTGATAAAAATTACTCGAATGTAAGGATATTTAATTTCAGACATTGTAATACGCACGTTTCTTATTTTATTAATTTATTACGGCTTAATTTTATTATTAATTTAACAAATTTAACACATTTTATACTTTTAAACATGAATATTGATTATGACTCGATATGAATATAAACAATTAAAGAACATGATCTAATATTTCCAGTGGCTTTTATAAGTTTTACTTTCGAAGGGGGTCGATCATGTATTTGATTTTTTGGGGGAAGGGGAGAAGGAAGCACACTATTACGAGAACAATTACTTGAGCACTATAAGACTTTTCAACTGTCTTTACGCCATCAGAGAAATAAGAAACTCAATTTTTTTTTATGATTTAGAATTTTAAAAAAATATAAAAACTACATCGTAATAAACAATTTTTTTATTAGAGTCAATCAAAATTTACCACATATTTTTTTATAAATATAAAATTTGAAATTATCGCCTAAGCAACATTTTCAGTGTCGCGACAGTTTTTCAGAATAATCCCCACTCATAAGACATATCCATGTCAAAAACAACAATTTTTAACAATGGTGTTTTTAGTTCGGGGTGGGAGGTGGTTCCCTCACCACCCCCCATAAATACGCCCGTAAATATTACACTTAACGAAATGAACAGATAAGAAATTATTATTGGCAGAATTGAACTAAATACATTTTCGTAAGATGTACACAACAATATACTCTACCAACAATATAACAAGTTAGGAAATGATATTTGTAAATCGATTAAATAATCGAAATAGTAAAACTGAGCAATTTGAACAAATAATTCGCATGTACATTGGCATATTAATAATATACATACACATGAAACGGAACGTTTCGGAAATATTATAAAGTCCAAACGTTATTCTCAGCGTACTCCTTAGTAGATACATGACGTATAGTAAAATAATAATAATGTTGTATATACATTCTATATGAATATGTATAGAATTATTATGTATATAATTTATTCTGACGTACTTTTGTGTTAGTGCACATAGTCTTTGGAGTATCATAGTTGTTGAGGTGGTATGATTGTCTAGGTTTATCGTTGCATCGGCATACACACGGAGTCTCTTGCTGAGGCAAAGGCATAGGAGCTTTTTTCACCGGCGTACTTGTTTCCGGCTTTAGGTGTACCGGTTTTGGTGGTCTGTTCGGCGCACATGTTTCAGGTTGACTAGAAATTTGATAATGAATTGTAAACATTTTTTACAAACAAATTTTGAAAACAAAATCGGATACGGGTCAGTGAACCAAACAACTAATATAGTGTTGGTTTTTATTATTTTTCGGCGTAGGCGTTTGATGAAGGAAAAACAATTTTTACCCATCGCCATTTCGTATGTATTTGTGAAAAATTGCGCTGTGATCATAACGATATTGTTTTGTGTGATTCGAGAATGCAGAAGTGTAATTTATTTTTATGCTCAAAAACATGGCACATGCAGAACCTACGTATGGTAGAATATATATTTCCATTTTCTACTCGTTCTACTTTAAAAAAAGGACATCGTCACAAGGAATTTTTTAAGGGCATTGAACTGCAAGTTTGTGAATATAATTTTGAATAAATTGTTAGAAAAAATTATTTAAAAATAATTGTTGAATCTTAAATTGTTATTTTTATATATTTTTCATTAACATTTTTAAAAATAAACCGTCAAAAATCGTTTTTATCACCACACATCAAAACGGGAATCAATATTTGTATGTACGTTTTATATTAAATAAATATGTTTACATACGTAGAAGTTTTAACTATTATGTTATATTTACCTTTTATGGATTTTGTCGTTCATAGAGTTGCATACTTTTCTGGGTACAGAATATTCGGTACCGCACACAGAACTACATCCGGCGCTTCCGCCACTGCTGCTGCTCTGCGACGACACATATTCGCAACACTGGTGTCCGTTACTCATTTCCGGTATGAAATTTACTGTAAATTTATAATAAACCAGAGGTTAGAAAATTTAAAAATAATTTTTTTTTCGTCCTAATTTTCTTTCTCTATGGCTTAACGCTAAAAATGATTGAACATGCGTATTAAAATTCCATTTGAGAATAAAATGCAAATATTTGATCGTTTTATTTTTATTAATCATCAAAACAACACAGCTTTTGGATCTAAAAAGAAACCAACGTATTAAAAATAACTAAGTATTTAGGTCAACTGGAATGTATCTTTTAACCATCCATTAAATATACAGTTCAATCGTATTGTTCATCAATCAATACATTTGCTCGTATTGGAAGATTATCTACGTAAATTATTTTCTAATGTATATAGATGGAACCACAATAATATAACTTGTATATACACTCAAATCTATAAGCGGCATCTCAGATAATCCTTTTGCCGGTATAGAATAGTTAAACGGACAACAATAGAGGATAAGGTTTTTATTATTATCGGTAGACCGTATGATAAATAATTATAATTACAATGCTATTATGCTGTGTGCAATTGGAAACGATTTCTGAGACAAAATCAAAAACGAAATATTCGTAAATAATAGTTTTATATTATCATGTAAGATATTTTTAATCTAACATTGATTTGTAGCCTTACGTTTCGTTTTTTGGTGTTTAATTTGATGTATATAGGTGTTTGTAAATGTGTTTACATACTACGTATAATAATTACCATGAAGGTTTTACTCGGAACAAAAAGTGAAGAAAAAGTTTGAAAAAGCAAACCAGCGTGTTGGATCTACGCCGCTGTTAAAAATAATATAAGAACTGGCCGGCTAGAGGGAGTGGAGTTTTAAATTGCCGGGGAAAATGGAACGAAAGTGTTGAAACATTGCCAAAAAGGCTACACACGTCGTTTTAAAAATCCCAACGATACATTTAAGTATAATGCACGGAATTCGGATATGTATTTGGGCTTGCGAGTTCAGTCTGATTAAGTACCTATACAATGTTGTACTACAAATATTATGTTCTCTGAGCAATTATTATTAACATTAACACCTAGTCGAATTGCACGTGATAGTAAAAAAATGTACTATTAGTTTGTAGTATACGTTTAGACTAGTTGGACGATAAAATTAGTTGCGTAGGTAAACAGTTAAATAATATTTGATGGTGACTGTTAGTTTCAGTTGCTGCTGATCGAGCTGAAAATGATAATAGTAGAATGCAGATCCAAGATAATTTTTTTACCATCAAGCTTTATATTTCTAAATCTACTCATCTAATTTTGCTTATAATTTACTTTTATAAATTATTTCATGAAAATAAATCGATTATATTATTGTTATTTGCTTATAAATTGTAAGTAAACATAGATACTAGTTGACTTCGAATACTTTTAAATAATAATAAACGTACGAATTAAGAGTATTAGGTGAAATTTATATTTTTTATTTGAAAATTTATATTTAAAATTTGTATACGTATACAATAAGTAAATTCGCTAAACAACACGTATTTTTTGGGAGAGGTTACCCAATGAAAAAATGTCCAAGATATATAACACATAATTGTATTTATACTCGAGTATATTATTCAAAATTTATTCACAGCACAATAATATTTCATATAATATAGAAGAATTGAAAATTTTACTACCATTTGTGGATGATCATCTATCCATCCCACCATAAATGGAAGTGAATTATTGGTTATACTTTATTCAAATCATATTTTTTTTGAGATTCAACTTATACATAAATATGTTATAATAATTATCATTGAATCAATGTACTACTACTCACGTGACGACACATTGTTGTCCATTGTCCACGCGGGATTGAATCCTATGCTTCCTGGGGTGTTGGCCATAGTTGAAGAACGAGACAATGCTCCAAGTTTACTAATACAGCTGGCACATCGTTCCAAAGCGGTTTCTGGGGTCCATGTACATTCCTATTGTTTTAAATAAAACATAAATCATATTTAGTTATAACTATATAATAATTCATAAAGCAAAAATTAGTTTGTGTATGTGTGTGTGTGTGTGTTATGTATGTATAAATATGTGGTATGTTATATTTTTTATCGAATTTGATATTAATATAATTATATTATATATTAATATTATAATTAATGTTTATACATTGTATTATAATACTATCACTGTTTAATTTAATGATGCTTAAAATTTTGGATAATGTATATTGGGGCTGAAAATTAGTAGTAATTACCATACTTTTGAATTCTATACTTGTTGTTTAAACTATTACATTATATTTGTTGTCTATATATCGAATGTTGCGTTTAAGACAGTTTGAATATAGTTACCTGTAAGTTTGGATCCTGGAAATCTCCTACGGAAGCGGTGTCTCCAAAGTCCGAATTGTCTAGTCGACTTTCGTTGGATGGCCAACACATGTTGTCTTCATTACTTCTATCGTGAGGATGTTGATTGTATAAGTTATGATCACCACCGTAGTCGGAAGCTCTAGAATCTAATCGAGACAATAGTCCTCTTTTGGACGGACTTTCTAAAACTATAATTACGATTATTGTATATAGACGACTGTCATCCAAACAATGATAATCCGGTCTTTTTACCTGACATATTTCTAGTGAGGAATTTTTTCCTGGTGGCCAGCTTGCTTTCTGCTGCCAAGTTCATGCACCTAGTTATTTCGTCTCCCTGATCGGTAAAACACACAAACAAGCCTTCGCCTTTGCCACACCTTGAGCCACCCTCGTAGCAAAATCGGTTCTCGATAACTCCGTACTTTCTGTTGGTTAAGCACGTTTATTAGATTAAAACGTTCAAAATTTTCGAATGGCAAATTATTAAAAAAAAAAATAATTGCCTCAAGTGACGGAGTTCCCAAACGCCTGCTAATCTTGGTGGGACTCCGGTTGTCATCGAAAACCTCAAGTCTTGTATATGTAATCGAGCGGGTCCTGTAGATATCTTTGATTTGGGCGGACAAGATGCTATTTGGATCAGAAACTGTTGATCTGAAATAGCAGTTTCAAAATATTCACGATAAGCAAAACGTTATTGTTTCACTGCATAATGCACGAACTGCATTGTAATATCACCATTAAAACCGGCCCAAGAATGTATTGTATATCTTTTATATGGTTTTTTTAAACATACATAAAATAATCCATATTTTCACACCTTCATTCATCTGTATACTTTTATTTTGAGTCATTTTCTTTATCCCCGTTATTATTATTATGTTTTACTTGTTATCTTTACGGCTGCTTGCACAGCAGACCTCTTTAAATTCTATACATGTTATTTTTATTCGCAGACTATACAGCCTTCGTTACTCAGAACATTTCAACTAACGTAATCTTTATGTAGACGTACCCACAATATGAAAAAAAAAGTATTCTAATAAAATAAAATTGTTATAAAAAATGGTTATGAATGTATTAAACGTGCATATACAATATAGTTGTTGAGAGCTCTTTGTTACGTAACCAAAGTAAAGTATTTTAACTGTGTATATCTCTTATTATGGAAAATTAAACTATCTTTGAATTAATACAAATTTTACTATAACTGAATACTATGACTATATTAATTCTAATAGACGAGTAAATATTATTGAGAATATTTTCTCACCGTCTCCTAAGTTTGAGGATATCTTCACTTGCCACTGGATCAGTCTCTCTCGAGTATCAAATGCTAACACAACAGTTACATCTTGGCAAATGATTGCTATCGTGTTAGATTCCTTGTCCAACGTAAATCCTGTAAATGGCATTGTCGTCATACACTTGTTTGTATTAAACAGTTTGATGAAACAACTTACCAGACTCTACACCCAGGAAGTGTTGCAAAGATAATGAAGCTTTTGTTTGGCCATGTTTGTATCGGTCTTTACTGTCTCTGTACAATTGTAAATGTAAACAGTCTAAAAATGAACAAAATAAAAGTTTAAATTATAAAATGATATGTAGTGTGTTTTTAACCTGTAGTAAACTTTTTATGAACGTTTTCGAGAAACATTATCGACCTGTCAATTAGACTATTTATTTAGTAGTAATTGTTTTTATTTATTATTAACCGTTTGAACTGTTCGTAAAACACATCGACAGCTACAATTCTCCAACAACAGTTAAACTTTTATATCGGAACAATTATATTCAGAGTCTAAAAGTTTTGGGCGAGGATGGATCGAAAGAGGAGAAGGGCATTATCGCTGATGGTGACAAAGTTTCCATTTATACGCCTCGTCCCCAGTGAAATTAAAAGTTATATGTATTCGGGACAAAAGTTTCTTCTACGAGTCTTCATTGGTCCTCTACAGACGTTTGCAGAGCTTTAATCAATAAATTATCAATCCATATAAAATGTTTTGCTACACCCCTACATGTTGAATTTCGTGTCAACGAACTTTTTTTCATTTTTTTTTTTTTTTTGAACATGGGGCAAAGAAAAAATAGGGGAGCCCAGGTGTTTTAAAGGAAATCACTTCCATTTACACAGAAAAATATTTCAAAGGCACCGGGGATGAATGAGGATTCAACGTGTACCTACTCAGAAAAGGGACAGTTTATCGGTTGCGTATATTTAGGGGGAGTAAGCGAGACAGATTTGCGGCCATGTTAAAATGCTTCCTTGTTGAGTATTTATCTTATTGGTATAGAGCCAAAACTGTTAAGAAACGCCACAGAAGTTTGTTCTTGGAATTGGAAAATTATGCTCAGCCGATTTAAATGAAATATTTACTTTAACAAAGAGAAACTAGCGCAAACTCATCCCATTTAAGCAAGTTGTTTTTCATAGGTTTTCTAATATTTTTTATTTATTTTTATAAGAATTTTGATTATTAACAAGACTTGGTATGTCGATTAGTTCTTAAATTCTTATTTATCTTAAACATCATAGATGGAATAGTTATTATATAATCTAATCCAAAACGTTTTAATTATTTTCTGTTTATTTATTTTTAGACTTATTATCTATTTGCAAATATTAATTTATCAAGTCATTGATAAACATAAAAACTTTACCATTAGTCAAATCAGATTTAAAACAGTTGCTTTGCCAAAACTATTATTCAAACATTATTATTCTCGGAATTAATAATGTTTATTGAGAAAATAATTTTCAAAATAAGTACTATTTCATAATAAAAGTCATCATTAATTTTGTTTATAAATGAAGTTTTCTGATTTTTTGAATTTCAGAAGTTCCCACTGTGAGAAAAATTGATTTTAAAGTTACACGGGAGCTTGTTTAAGAATGTTCAAATATAATTAATTATTAGTTTTCCAATGGAATAATTAAAAACTATATAAAAATTAGTGTTGGTACGTCATAATTTAGCTATACAACTTGAATATTTTGAGTGATCAATATATTTTAAAATACACAATCTTGTTGGCTAGAGAACATTATTATTTTGATTACAGTTGTTTGTTTACGATGAAACTGTAGGGAAAAACATTGGAAACCATAAAGTTTTCAATATCAGTGATACGCATCGTAATTCCCTTGCGTGTTGCATCTTTTGATGACATAAAATCGTGTCGAACAATCGTTAAAGAATAACCAAAAATAATATAATAATTACTTTATTCACGGTATAATACATGTTATACACATATATATAGACAGTTAAATAAAGGAAATTGCATTAACTCATGTATGTAATATGCGACGTTATGGTTGGATATTAGACTTAAACATAATTATAATATATTTCATTTTGAATATCACGAACGACATTTAAAATAATATTACCTGACGATTATTTATCGACTTTGCGCGATGACACTGTATAATTTTTAAGTAATAATTCAAAAACAGAAAAGGTCGCAGGGCCTGTTTATATTATACGCACTCGGCCTCGCTTATATTTTTGAATACATAATTAAACAATGGTAATGCGTGCAACGCTAATAAAAACGTTACGGAAAACGTCAGTGATATAATACTAAATACGATATTGAAACGTGCGAGGTCAATATCGAGTTCGAGGTTATGGGAACGTGTTAATAAAACGGATCCGTCAAGACATGGGAATATTATGTTGCATTCATGAACAATCGTGTCAATCGTATACGGACGTCATAACATTTAGTCGGCGGTGGTAGTCCGCTGTATTGAATCGTTAAGAACGAGGAAAATGTAAAAGCATTGTCAAAAAATGAAAATAATATCAAGTACACAATATTATAAAAACAACAAATTACCTCAATGCCTGGGTACTATGCCGAGGTAATATATTATTTAACGATTGCGTCGCGGTTCTTAAATTGAATCGCTGTACAGCACTATAAGGGCCATAACGTCCAGATACCACCCAAAGTACCCTAATAAACGTTTTTCCGACATTTCCTGTAACAGTGTATGACACGCGATTTGTCGTCCGCTCGGAACGAACTCTGATTTAGGTCTCCCGGCGCGGAGGGTGAAATTTTCTATTTACAACAATCAATATATATATATATATATATATATATATATACAAACACCCCGTCAATTTGTGCGATTTATTGTCCAATCAGATTTCATAAGGAAGGATATGGCTCGTAGAGATGGGTAGGTATGGGATACGCAAATAATATGTTATGTCCAATTTAGAAAATTTGCCGACACATTTTACATGCAAACGGAGTACGATAATATTTTTCATTAAATAATTATTTACACGATTGTATATAGTACTACATTAAATTTCATTCGTCAAGTTAGTGTGTAATAAGTAATATACAACCGAGTCCATATATAGACGTTTTTGGGTTGTTGTGAGGATTTATTTTTCATATTCTCGAAGAATACGCAATTATAATTGATTTAGTGTGAACGTCGATGTAGTTTTTTTTATGAAATAACGTATGGTTTAAATTCATGTTCGATTATGTATACAAATTGTTGAGTTAGGATATCACGCGGCGATCGATTTTACTCTAGTTAATCATTAATAAGTGCACGGAACACTATCGAGAATATTCTGCTAACAACTGTTATGAACGGATTGAATATAATTTAAATGTTGCATCTCGCAATATTTCGGTTGAACCACGATATATTTAATGAAAATTTACTATTTCTCAATGTTTATCATATTAAGTTGACGGTTGAATACAATTTTTCCTCTAAGAAAAGAAACAAAAATTGATCAATGTTAAAAAACATCAACTTTTCTTGTTGATTTCTAATACATGATTGACTCGAAAAACTTTATTTTATATTCTGTACGTCTGATTAATTGAAATATACATATATTATATATGTCATGTATATTGTAAAGCCATGTATATATGTTTTGAATCGATGACGATTTCATGCATAGTTAGTTAGGGTCGTAATGTAATATGCGAATTCAATTTACACTGGGGGTAATGATGGTGCCCGAGAAAAAGAAAAAAGAAATTGGTTTCGTGGCGGAAAAAAAAAATAAAAATAAAACAATGCGTCTAGAGACTTGGAGGGTCGAACGTCACCGTCGTTGGAATCGTCGAGAAATTCCAAGGAAAATGTCACGGGATTGCTGGGTAAATCTTAATGACTTCGGCATTCTCGACGTCTTTGGTTTTGTTGGGATAAATTGAATTCCGTCATCTTCCTAGTCATCATCATCCCCGAAATTACTTTACGGTCCATAATCGAGTATTTAAATTAGATGATCGTCTGTTGTTGGCCTTTTCTCTTTGTCTGACAACGTTATCAATTATTATCATTATCGTTGTCATCAGCAATACAATTATTGCCATTCCCAAAAGGTCCGTACAGGCAGATGTACCTACGTGCAAGTGCGGTGTGAAAGCTGAACATGAGAATTGATCGATAATTTATGTTTAACGAATTGTGGTGGAAAATGTAAAAAGTGGGAGAAATTGACGATGAATAAAATACGGTCTTGTCAAAGGAACAAAAATCCTTTGGCCAACGTAATTATTCTACTCGCTTTTCTACATATAATTATCTAGGTACAGACTTTTTATTCAAATTGAACTTGATTAAATACAACACTTTTTTTATGCGTCCTCGTCTATTATTATTGACTTTTACTATTTTTCAGACTGTTTTTAAAATACTCTTTTGTCTTTTTACAAACGAATATTTTTTTCTTTATAAAATGGTAAATAACTACAGAACATGTAATTACATAAATAATTACGTTAGTTAAGAGCTGCAGTGGTCTTGCGCATCGGGTTCTAGAAATGGTTTCAGCGTAACGGTTATTTATTCTGAATGGAGTTTAACATGCCGGATTAGAATAGAACGTAATTCAACATTTCGAAAATGTTTGTTCTTTCTAAGCTGCATCCCGTTTACAACCCGCGTAATCGGTAATCCCATATTGTCCTCAATTATTCATATATATATATAGTACTATATGTATATAGTGACGTTCACGCCAATAATACAATTATTTAAAATGGCATATTTTTTCAAAATAAATGTTGATGTGTCATTTAAGAGCTCATTTTAAAGATACATCATATCAATTATTGATTACATAATGAATAATCGCATACTAAAATGTAACGAACTGCTACGCAGTGCTTGTATGTATACGCGTACCGAGTGTTCGAAATACGGTATTGTATAATACGATTTTTTCGAAAACCATTTATCTCACACCGCGTCGTACGCGTTCGGTCTGTCAGAAAAACATTTCGTTTTGAAAACACCCGGTATATGCCATTTCCGGTGTCGAAAACAGACGGCAGCGACGGGCGGTTTCGGAAAGTTTGAGCCGCACGCGTGTCCAAAAACGATTTCGAAAACTGCAAGGTCTCCTATTTATATTTCCCGGGTGGACACAGTTCAGGTTACACGGTAACTGCGGTGCACGTACACGTACGTAACGGTTTTCGGTGGCCGAACGAAAACTTGTCACGTTTATGTACGATTGAAATAATAACTCATGCGATACAACGACGACAACGATTGTAT